CCCCCCCCCGCCGCTATGTCCGACATAGAAGCGGGACACCTCTATGTCAGACATAGAAAGAAAGCGGCTTTTGCCCACCCCGCCGCTATGTCCGACATAGAAGCGGGACACCACTATGTCAGACATAGAAAGAAAGCGGCTTTTGCCCACCCCGCCGCTATGTCTGACATAGTGCCTCACCAGCCATAAACCTCACCACACGTCACTGAGTACTTGTATGTAAGTAAGGCTTAGACTATCTTTTCCATACTAATTGCCTCTCTAATAAACTGCTTCAGAAGACTCTTAGTGATTAATAGCATGTGTGTAGGACAGACAGGGCAGGGCTCAAGTTAGAAAAATAATCCTGGAAAGAAAGGTTACTCATGGTCAAGCAAAAATACTTTTATGTCTGCACCATGCAATCTAGGCCATCTCCATTGTGTGAAATCTTCCAGACAACAGAAAACACAGGAAAGAGTCTAAAATCCAGTAATTATGGTATTTTTGCTGCAAAATACATACTTGTTTCGTCTACCACTGTTTTCCCAGAATTCCCAAGGCTGGACAATCTGGACAACAAATTACAATTTTCCATCTTGAGATCATTTATCAGTTTTGCTGTTGTTCCTGAATTTATCACAGCCTGGTTTTTTATTTTTTTTGTTCTTTTAGATGAAACGAAACAGAAAAAAATACAAATTACTGTACTGACTTGAAGAAATAAAGAATCCAAATAAATATTGATACTGGGCTTTCCGATCTGCCATGCAAAAATTTGGATAACTGCTACATGCCAACAAACAGGAAGCAAAACTATTAGATTTTTGCAGACCAGGCATCACTTCCAATTCTAGTCCAAAAATTCTTCCAAAGATTTTGAAAGGTTGGGGAAGGTTGAAGTTCCATGCATTATGACAAACTGGCCTTCATAGATTGACTATCAAATTAATGCTTATCTTAAATGTGTCTCTTGCAATAGAAAATCCCATGGCAAATTATTGTCTCATCTCACATGGGATAAGAGGAAACTTTGTGGAGAGAACTCCTTGCTCTGATCCTACTCAGGATGATTATTGGGGGAGGATGCTGAAGGGGGAAGGGGGAAGACAGAAAAGTTTTCAAAATTAAAATATTGGGGGGCATTTTTTACAGTTACGATGAATAGGTATCTCCAAATCTTCAAATGCCTAAGAAAATAGTCTGTTTTGTCTATCATGCTTATCTTTTTTTTCATTTTTCATCTTTAATTTGGCAATCATACATTTTGTGTTATTAGACTTAGCCTGGCCTGGTGTAATAAAGTATCATATTTTTTGGCCTATAAGATACTGCGGACTATAAGACGCACATTAACTTTAGAGGAGAGGGGGAAATCTGCCTCTACCTCCCAGCATACATCCAGTATTCATCAGGCTAGCGTCCTAGCAGCAAACAGCCTGGTCAGCTTCAGCACGTTATCACAGCCCTAGCACATGGCTCGTCAGGGCTCCGCTCTGTTGCGCCGATTACCAGTCAACTGACCTCAGCTGCTGCTGCCGCAGGGGAATGCTTGGACCTTTGCTGTCGAGATTGGCAGTTGGATCGGCCTCCCGGAATACAGTGGATCAGCTGTTCTAGGTGGC